AACGCGCGCGGAAATTGCTAAACTCACGAAAGCTATTGCATGAAAACAAGTCCGGTGACCCCTTCTTTTTATTGTTCCATCAGGATAAAACCAGTGAAATCAAGATTCCCTACCTTTTCGGTCCCTCGCTTTTTCTCCCTCTTGGAATTATATCTGTTCACACGATCGGTATTTATCTTTTCCCAGTAGGCTTTTTCTTCCCCCTCTGCAAATTCATCGAGAAAAGGTTAAATAAAAGCTAGAATCGCTTTAAATGAGCCTCAATGCGAGTTGGAAACGTTCGAAACTTTACTTCGAATTATTGAGAGAATTCCAAAATTTGAGACACACCCTTTTTATTTCGTTTTGTTGGTAAATAATCATCTTGAATACTAAATAAGAACTTAGAGTTCCCAGAGTTATCCTAATATAGATAAATTTAATCGAAAATGTTAATCGACCACGTACCAGTAGCGTCTGCTATTACCTTATGGCCGTCCATTCTACCACCAAATAATCTTTTCGGTTCAATATCTCGAAAAAACTACTCTAAGCCTTCCATAACGTAGTATAGCTTGCGTGGAAGGCGCGTGGCGAGAGCAGGACAAACGCGCGCGAGAACACAAGCGGATGATTTCAAATTGTAATTATTTCCCAACTTTTCATCGAAATTTTAAGGTCTTATTTTCCACAGACCTGTGGGAGGCTTGGCACTGACAGCGAAACTAGTAAGCCTTGAAAAAAAAAAAAAAAGCTGATTAAAATTACCCGTCAGTTTGTTGAGCTGTAGTTCATCGTTTGCGGTTGACATTTCTTTAAGCACCAAGTTACAATTTTCTGCGGTGTGAAAACGAACATAACCCTGCAAAAATTAAAAAGTAGTGTCAGTAGTTATAAGGAGAAGTCCTAATGATTTGGAAATGGCTTGATGCTACTCTGGTTTAAAGATTTAATAAATGCAATCGGGTAAATTACAATTCATCGACCCCGATTACATTCATTAAATCTTTAACCCAGAGTAGCATCAAACCATGTCTGTTCGTACATCTGGTTGACGTGTGAACTTCAATATATCCTTAGGATTTTATATTCAACAGGTTCTAAAAACTGACTGAAAAGTTTGAAAAACCAAGGAACGAGGGTCCACTTGCAGAGAAATTTCTACATTAGAGATTTCTGGTTCCAAATGAAAAGAAAACTACACGAAATTCAGTGAGAGAACCAAAACTATGGCTTGTCTTTCGTCGACCTTTAGTCTGCCGTAAGTGCCTTCGGAGGGAGCGCGGGCTCATTTTCCAAACAGCAGCTACTTAAAGAACCTAACTGTAGGTGCAATCGCGTTACTTTCGCGACGTAATTTGATATTTTGCACGTTTCCTTATTTCCTGCATGCATGCTCGATCCAACAGCAAACCAAGGAAATAAAAAAAGGAACGTCACATCGTGATATAGGTATCAAATGATAAAGGATTTGTGTAAACCAGGTCAACATTTAACAAATGGTAAACACCACAGCGTACACTATTGAGTTATGGATGCACGCGGGAGGTTTGCTAAGCATTCAAGAAGCTAGAGTCCCTCTCGGCTATCGCCTCGAGCGACTCTTACGCTTCTTTCGTGCTTAGCAACCTCCCGCGTGCATCCATAACTCAATAGTGTACGCTGTGGTGTTTACCATTTGTTTTATAACATAACATTGATACATTGTAGCTAAGGAGTTCCCTTTTATTTGACAAATCTTACGTGCCCAGAAAAAACAAGCGCGCGCGGAAAAATAGTCTTTGCATTTGCTCACGTCAGCAGCGTACACCCATGGGCAAATCGGGGACGCTGAATTGACCAATCAGAGCGCGCGCTTTACTTTGGTTATGTTATAAAATCACGTGACGCTAATTCAGAAAAGGTTCTCCACACCTCAACATTGCCTTCTTCTAAATCCAAATAAGCTACGGGAGCACACGATGAAAGTTTCTCCTACAAAAAATTAAAAAAAAATACTCTTACAGTTTATCCATGACCATGTATTTTTAAGAGAAGCGGGCAAAAAAAAATATATGCAATTTTCAACTTCAATATCAATAACAAAGTGCTCCACTTAGATTTGAACCTACTACATCTGTGATATCGGCACAGGTACTGTGTCATGTCATCCAGGTCTCAATCGGTCTCAATTATATGAACACAGCGGTCAAACGTAAGGCATGCACAAGGAGATCAACTTTTACCGGCCGCGCGCTGATTTCCCGCGCAAATTTTCAATGGAAAACATAAGAAACAACTGCTTTCAAGCAGAAATGCAAAAAGAAGAAATGAAAAAAAGCACTGATTGAAACGCTCATGTAACTCTGTTGAAAGAAAACAAAAGTAAGGAAGAGGAAAACTAGACACTTATCAAATAATTATACGCTTTTAAAACACCGCGACATACTGGCTTGTGCGGCTGTTTGTAACTCGTGTGAGACAACTTGGTTCTGACAGCCTAAAAACACGCCCATAGTCATTACAAAGTTCGCACAAGCGTGGACGTTTGAGCGCTGTGTTACTGTAGAGAAGCTCCCTTATTCTTACTCTCAGCTCTTTTTTGGTCATTCCACGACCCTGACATTGGAACTTTAACAGAACTCCTGGAGTGTACGATAGCGTCTTTACAGTTGCGACGCCATCTTGCGAGGATTTTTCTTCGGTCTTCTGATACGACGCATCAGCTCTGTCGCGTGTTGACTTGTGAGGTTTGTTTCCTGCTTGACTGGAGTTAACAGGAATTTTATCTTGCAGGTGTTTTTTCAAGTTCTTCATGGCTCCGCGTTGTAAGGTTTTATACTCCTTTTTTAGCTCGAGCCATTCTAATCTTCAGAAAAAGAAAAAAAAACTTTGATTCCACTTAGCATTCAGCACAAAAGTAAAATTTTCATTCATTACAAAGGTTTGCCTTTGAACTTTCTCGAATCAAGTAAATATGCTAAATTTCATGGAACTCCATTCTAAAAACGAAAATGATTCAGGAAACTTCACAGATCTTATAAATTCCGAAAGATTAATAGTTCTACCAACGTTTCTTTGTAAAATGAAAAAGGTTTATCTGAACAGAATAAAAAAAATGTCGTGGCTACCATTCAAACTCTCCCACACACATCAAATGAAATTTACCGAAAAAAAACTAGAGAAAAGTTATGTTATGAACAGAAAAAAAAGTAACTAACTTACTTAAGATAATTTTGGTTTTATCGCCCGAGTTGATAATGTAAATTAGCCACCTTAAGGAGTTTTAATGTGACAGTTGTCTGTCTCCTCCGATGAAGGGCGAACGCTCGATCGAAACGTCTTTGAACCTCTTTACGGTGGCCAATTTACTATATCAACTCTGTTACTAAAACCAAAATTACCTTGTTACTGCCACCGACGCATTACCACAGTTTTTTTTTTTTGTTTAAGAAACTTACGTCCTTTATTCATTGAACTTACTTAGAGATCACTCTTAAATGTGGCAATCTATTTTCTTTCTTGTCCTTCTTTTTCCTCTTCCTTTTCTTATGTTTCTTGTCTCCCTCGACAGTTGCATCTTCGCCACTCTCCTCAGCAGTATTTTCAGAGTTCATCTCCGACTTGTTGCTCATCTTCTGTCGTTTCTGCTTCCCGCTCTCTTCGCCGCTTGTAGAATCATCATGAGATCTTTTACGAGATTTTTCCTCGCTCACTTTTTTATCGCTGTTGGTCTGTTCATCACCTTCTTGCCACCGAACAAACTTCTTTCCCTTTTTGTCCTTCCCATCCCCATTTTTCCATCTCTCTTCTCCATTTTCTATCCTTCCACTGCCACATTGTTCAGACTTCTTGCCTTCTTTACTTTTCCGTTTGACCCCATCCCTCGAGCTCACATCTACTGGCAGTTCATTGGCCTCAGAATCTACTGAGGATTCACTTGTTGTTCTCTTTCTCTTACCAGTCCTTTCGCGGCTGGTTTTATGTCCGTCCACTTCTGATTCGCTATGAGAGCGTTTTCTTTTTGGTTTAGCCATCTTGTGTTGTTCATTTGACCGTTCGGTACTGAAGCCAATTTCGCTTTTTTCTGGTTCACTACTTTGTTTAATTCTTCCCTCTTTATTAAACACCTACAAAACATTACTTAGAATTAGATAAATTTAGATGACCGTTATTTAAACACGATAAAATTTTAAGATACAAGCTTGTGGGGTTGTGTGAAGAAAAAGAAAATTTATACGTTACGTAAATATAACTTAAATTTGAAAATAGAGAATGATATATAACAGAATCGGCATGTATAAAGCGAGCAGTAGAAGCAGAAAGTAAGTCAAATTTGAATTTCTTAAAGTAGTCTCTGGTAAGTAGATGTTTTTCCAGATTATTGAGATTGGAGCGTTCAACGTCTTGTTCATAGTAGCAAACTTCAAGCTTGAAAAAATCTTAAAATAATCTAAAAACTACTTTTCCCAACAGATGACCATAAAATCCTATTTTGGCTAATCTTGTGAGTTACATAGTGGGCAGGAGAAAAACCTTTTTTTAGAGTGGTTTTATAAATAAAAGCAAAGTTATAATAACAGCCAAGAGGACATAATCTCTTGCAGCAAACCAAACCAAGAAAGTATCACAAGAAGCACTATTATATGAAATAAATCATGTTTAATGAGTACCTCAACTGCTTCTTGAGCAACCTTTGCAGATTCAAATTCTACAAAAGCAAACCCTTTTATGTCTCCAGTGTGTTTGAATCTTGGGATGCTAAAACATCATTGGCAGAAAAAAAAAAGAAATTATTAAAAACCAAGACAGAATTTCTCCTTACCACATTAATAAAATATCAAGTGGGCAAGTGATGAGAATATAGGGAATATCACATAGGGGAATATTAGTTGATCCAATACCAAATTTGTCAACACCCCTGGTCTGATATTATTCTCCCCTCTAGCTGCTATATATTTCCTTGTGAATTTATAACATGAATTTGGTTTTAAATCAAGATAAGGTGAGTATTCTCATTACCTGTTTGCTGGATTGTGTATGGATTTTATGGGAAGAAGTTAAATGTTGGTCACTTCTTGGAATTGAATGGTTCATCCTGCTTATTTTGTGCCTATCCATTTGCTTTCTTTAAATATTTAACAACTATTCACTGAAGTAGAGGTGGCTAGGGGTGGATATTTACCTAACCGTGTAGCAGTGAATAAAATATCCACCACTAGCTGGTGCAAATCCTGTGCACATTGCTCACAGGTGTGTAGCAATGGATATTTGTAGTTTAAGTGGCCAATCAGAGAGAATCTTAAAAGCTATCCACTGTTTTAGCACATACTGATAGCAAGAGTTGAATGAAAGCCCTTTCTGTAACAGCGGTACCCAAATTTTCTGAACCCAATGATAATCACATCAAGATTAAAAAACCCCAAGCCACTAGCTTTCAAACAATTTTGGCCAACTCAACTGTAGTCAACTCTTTACTTCCCATGAGTGATAAAGACAGAATTTCTCGATACAACATCATCACAATTTCAAGCTTGCAAATGACAAAAATAAAGAAAAATATCAATTAAAGATTATTAGTTCATCATATACCAAATTCTCTGCACTAGCATCAAGAGAATTGTATGACAGACAGGAAGGAGAATTAATTAACAGATCTCAGGAGTGAAAAGGCTAATGAATTAAGTGCATGCACCTACCTGACGTATTCCACTTTCCCATACTTGCTGAAAATTCCTTTCACCCAGTCATGATCAGCATATGGTGGAAGCCTTTCCTAAACCAAGATAACAATAATTATTAAAATATCTATAGTTAAAAAAGATGTTTGTTTGTCTTCTAATCAGTGTGCATCAAAGAAAAAAATTCTGAGTTGCATTAGATCTTGAGATTCTGGGCCCAGTTGTTCGAAGGCCGATTAGCACTAACCCAGGGTTAAATCTTAATCCAGGTTTCTATATTTCTCTGATAAAAAGCCGTTTTGGGATAATTTTCCCAATTTATTTTAAGGCATTTAATCATCAAATTGTAGACAAATGGAATCAAGCTGAATTTTCTTTTAAAGCTTTCAGATCTGAAATCAAATTTCACACTAACCCTGGGTTACCTTAACCTACTTTTGAACAATCCAACCCTGTACTCTGATGATCCCAAGGTCTGATGTTTGACTCAGACTCATGAGGACTCAGAATTTTTCTATTGTCACACCCTCACGACAAGACAAAAAGACATCTTTCTCTACTCCATCACCAAGATAAAAAATGTTATCATCTTTCTCAATCTATTAGCATAATTATTTCTTACAAATCATGCATCACTCATGGGTATTAACCCTTTATCCCCTAAAAGTGATAGTCAAGCATCTAATTTCTCCTTACAATGGCACCCCTGAATCAAACATTAAGGTCAGGAGAATAAAGGAAATGATCATCAACCAAATAAGCTCTTGATTGTTAAACAAATTCTCCTTGTTGGTGCCATTGAAAATGTATAGAGAACAGTATGGAGAATGTACATATGGATGTTAGAGGGTAAAGGGCTAAATGGTGGAGTTCCCAGAAACCTTTTCCATAACTTCATGCCAATGGAGACAGACAGTGTAAGAGTCTTTTGTGCTGTCCCCTAGTGTAGAGAGACAATTGGTGATGCCCAGGACACAATTTTAATTTTCTACACAGGTCTTAGCTTTTGCCAAGAGTAATATGTTTATTTGCCTAGTTAACAAATAAAAAAGCATTTTTTCTTAGCTGGTTCTGGGTTCAACAGCTTTCTTATATCTCTTAGTGTTTTGCTGTACAGCCTGCTAAATTAAAAAATTTGTTTGAAATGAAATCCTAGCCCACTAATCTAGAGATATAAATAATATCTATTGACCTCGTTTTCTCAGTCTGTATTATACATTACCAAACCTTGTTTTTTTTATTATTGGATACATGGCCCACCCATGTCTCACTCAGGCCATAAATCCAAGCTGATAAAAACTTGGTCTGTAACTTACAGTACAGACCTCAAACCCCCTTTGAAAGAGGTACATATCTTGAGATTTTAAAATCAAGATATAATAGTTCTAAATCATTAGGTAAGGATAGTTTCATTAACTTAAATTTCATGGCAAGTGTATTAGATTGCATTTTACCGGAACTAGTTGAAAAAAAATTAATCATCATTTAGATTAGTGATCTTGTATTTTTGCCAGAGTTAAAAACACTTACAACATAAATAGTTTCTTTATCCACATTCTGTGGCTCAGGAACAGGAGTATTTCGTCTGACCATTGTGTCATCACCATTGACCTGAAATTCATTAAAATAAATAACAGACACTGTTGCAATTTCAACTAAACATTTTCTGAATGCAATCAAGAACCTTTTAAAGAGATATTTTCCATTAGTTTGACTTCAAATCATTCAGTTTCTGCCACAAATCACATTAAAAATAATTCTTAATGAGTAAACCTGCAACATTTTCTAGAAACAGTTTGTAATACCAACCTCTAGCATTGAAGACAATTTCATTGCTTTAACCACAAGGTTTAAGTCATCCGTAATCTGTTTCATTCTGTTGAAACTAGCGATGGTTGGGATAGGTACATCTGAAAGAAAATAATGATAGGTGTGGTGTATTTGTAGAGACTGGGCAGTATTCGTTCCAGTCTCCCCCGACGTTTGTTCTTCCGGTTGTGAAGCGATGCCATGTGCTCGTCAGTCGAAATAGAATTAAACCGTTTCCTTCGTTGAATACGTCTAAATACGTTCTTGAATAAGGGCCACCTTATGATGGATTAGGGTCCCATCCAGGGGGAGTGGAGTATTACCTCTAGTTGCTTCATGCTATGGAACCCAATAAAAGCTCCTGAGCCACCTAGCTCAAGCACACACTTTACCATACCCTTTAACTTATAATAACAGTCATGCCAAACACCAATACTGACATTTACTTCCGCGAAAAAAAAACAAAAAAACCAACAACAACAAAAAAATTGGAGAAACCTGGGAAGAAGGAGACTGATAATTTGCAAATAAATGCGTCTCTTTTAATTCAAACTTAACACAGCATACTTACATCCTTCAGGGTGCTTGCTTATCTCCTGTTTCATAAAACGGTCCTTTTGGAGGTTGGAATCTCCAAAGTAAAACTCAACCTGTTTTTAAAGGCCAACAAAGGTTACAAGAGCATGGCACATAACCAGCTTATGTGCATTTTTAAGACAGCTTTTTGCACTCAGATAATTTTGTATCATTTTTTTGCAAGCAAGCTTGTGTAAAACAAAAGAAATGTTCTGTTTCTCATCATAAAAAAACTACTCCAGAGAAGGAAATTCACTAGGAAAGTAGATTATTTTTAAACACTGGCTTTTTTGGGGGGTGAAAAAGAGTGCACTATGATAGAATTTGTCACTCTCCAACACAGAGCTCTCAAGTTGATTTGCTGGCAAAGAGTAAGATTTTGGACTGAATAGATTTAGAATCTGGTGTTAAACCAGTTGGCATCTTTTTCTCACTCCTCCTCAATTTTCCACTTGAAAATGCAGAGATATTGAAAGAAGAAATTCCTTTTGCCTCCCTCTTGGGAGTGAAAGGGCATTATCTTGGATTGCTTTTCTTTTTTTCTATGCAACAAGTATTTCTAACCTGTTCTTGAAGTTGTGCAATAATTTTCTTGGTTCTTTTCCTCTGTTTCTTGCGTATTTCATTGTCTGCTGAGATCTTGAGGGGATCTTGGGAATCCATGGTTGTTGTGTAACCAACCTTTAGTCACGTTACTGCTGCAAAAGAGATGGCTGTTGTGTTGCCTACCTTTAGTCAAGTTACTGCTGCAAAAGGGATGGCTATTATGATGCTATTTAAAAAAAAATCGCGGACAAAGATGAAGACATTAAGGGTACTTATACTCTTAAAGTTTATTCAAACCGACATTAGAAATTTCACACAGAGCGAGTTGTATTACAAGGATGAAGAGTCCTTAGCTTTAAATCTATCGAAAAAAACTTTGAAAAGAGCAGTCACTAAAACTCAACTAGCTTGAAAACATCTCACCCGCTAATCAAGCACTTTCTGAAGGATGTATAGAAAAATACTCGAGACCTCTTCCTAAATTTAGAAATCTGCAAAAATTTCTTGCAGACTTCTCCTGTTAATTATTCTTTCAGACTCCTTTCGAACACCAAAAGCCTAATAAATTCCAGCTCAAAATGACCAACTAAAAGTGAAAAAGCTCTAAATTAACTACGTTAAAAAACTTTTTTAACTTAGCAGGCTTACGCACAAATAATAATTTAGAAAAATTTACCTGGACATGCATGCATACGAAGGCTCCTCAAATGTCCGCCATTGCAGGCCGGGCTGCTGTGTTGTTATGTCCAGTTCTCCACGGTCTCTCCCATACATTACGCGGGTGACTGTTCAAAAAACGTAAATTGAACGGGTGAATGATAAAGGTAAATAAATAGGCACTTAGCGAATTTGGAATAAGACAGAAATCAGGAGCAAAACGCCTGAATATTTGAGGGGAATGCATCTTAGACTAGCTTGATTCAGCCAGGGTAACGCGTCACGCAGCACTAAGTAGAAACGTTGCGTGACGTCCCCTCGCCAACATCCCCGCGGATAGTCACGTGGTACATACTCTGCATAGCTATAAACGTGAATGCTCGCCCAGCAAGTGTGATCTCCTAATTTTGCGGCCCTTGCGGGTTTTTGTACCGAAGGCATGGCCTGTGGAAGATACGATCATTATGACTATCTCTACAAGATTGTCTTGATCGGGGATTCTGGCGTTGGAAAATCTTCCCTTCTATCTCGCTTCACGCGTAACGAATTCGATCTTGAGTCGAAGTCAACCATTGGGGTTGAATTTGCTACAAGAAGCATTCAAGTAGATGGCAAAGTGATCAAAGCACAGGTATGTGGTACTCGGTTCTATTTTCAGATGAAAAAGAAAAACCCTTCTTGCGTTTAGGTGAAAAGAAGTGTTATATCTTCTATATACGTCATGTCTTGAAATATATATGATAAGTATCAAGCTGTTGTAGAAGTGTTACATACGAATATTTTACCTAAATTTTTCTTCTCGCCAAACGCTTGTAGGGCTTAAAAGTGAATACGCTTGATTCGATAATCCAGGAATAAACAAATTCCCTTTGTGAGGTTGCTAGATTAACAAGGAATTAAGTCTTTGAAGTATAAATTGAAATATGTATCGTAGGTGCCGCTTGATTCGATTATCAGGAATAAATAAATTCCCATTGTGAGGTTGTCAGATTAACTAGGAATTAAGTCTTTGAAGTATAAATTGAAATATGAAACGTAGGTGTAGTTAGTCCCTTGTTCATTAGCAATGCGTTTTGGCATGATCCCTTTCAGTTTAAAGTACAATCGCTGTATGAATTATTGATTGTGTCGAGTGTTCGTATCGATCAAAGGCTTGTATTCATCGAGTCAACGATGTTTTTGTCTAGAACGACGCGGAATTTTGAGAATGCAGAAGTTTGCCATAGAAATGCCCACAAAACGGAAAAGATATGATTTGTTTCCATAACTTTCAGTGGCTATTTGCCTTGTGGGGCTTGTTTTGAGAGGATGATTTGACCAAAGTTCACGAAGAATTTGTCGGGAACATCCCATTTTTTTTCCTGGCTGAAATCATCTGTTTTCTCACCAAGAGACAATATCTTTGATATGATATAGATAGATAACCGTAAATTTACACCATCTTGCTATGCTTAACGCTGAGTATAATATTCCTCCAAGATAAGCAATTGCCACATGGCCTTAAATGAAGTTACAGCTTCCTTTCAGAAGGAGAAAGAAGTGAAAATAATCATTCCCCCTTTCATTTACAAGATCCAAAACAAATATTCACAATACCATCGACCATACATGTTTTATTTATTTCTATTTGTATTTTTTACTTCCTTTATTTCAACAATTACAAACTATTTGAATGATTAAAAAGAAAAAAAAATGGAGAAGGGCATAATTTGGCAAGCTAATTCATTGCCCTTTAAGTTAAATTTCATTTTTTCATATAATAAAAAAAAAAACAATACATGTATAAGTACAAGAGAGGAAAAGAGGAATCACACCTTAGACAACATGAATAAAAAACCAAAATCTGATTTTGCACTGTCTTTTGTATCTGAGAACCTTATTACACCAAAGTAAATCTTTGCAGCACCTGAACCCAAGCCCCTTCAGAATAAATCTTAGGAGATTCTGTTGAAAAGAAAAAAATATCAACTAAGGTATTCCTAGTTGACCCAAGACCAAATTCTCCAAACTAACATCATATGAAATGTAATTCAGAAAGTTAGGAGAATTGCTATAATTGAGATCTTGGAAGAAAAGGGTTAAAAGAGCACATTTTATTTATTACACAAATCGGGCAGTCAGAGGGCCAATAACTAAAATAAACCAATCAAAATGCTCTATTGCCYCCCCAATATTCTCTAAGTATTGGACGGGGCACTGTCCTGAATGATACTGCACTTGTGTCCCTTTGAACTTCAGGCGTATAATAAATCTCTTATTGACCAAGCTTGCTCGGGACTGTACTGGAAGAATATTGGCCCTTGGTCTTTTTTGTACGGACCGAGCGTAGCAAGGTCCATACTGTCAAGACCTTAGGCCGATATTCTCCCACTAAGGCCCTCGCTCTTGGTTAATAACATATATGTATTACTTTTCTCAGTATTAATAACTGTCTTCCTTTGACCTTTTTCATTCATTATTATTTTAGCGCTGAGAATTATTTGGTGGTAAATCATACAAAATCTCCCAGGCAATATATTTTCCTTCCCCTCATCACTTTCCTGTGTAGAAATAAATTTAAATTGCTCAGAGAAACTCTAGTTTTGGTCTCCCTGGGAAGTGGAAGGGCTAACCCTTTCTTTTCCAAGATCTGATTGTTAATTCTCCCCTCTTGCTGCTACACATTTCCTTGTAAATCAGTTAGAAGAATTTGATGTTCAATCAAAGTAACAACTTCTACCTGATAATTTTGAGTCTTCTCTTTACCCATTGGCTGGATAATGTATGGATATTGTAGAGAGAAGTTACATGTTGATCACTTCTGAGAGTTAAAGGGTTAAAGTTTGAGTGGTGAATGATATTCATGAGAGCTCTTCCTCTGTTCTTGGAAATGCCAAAAAGATAAATGGGAATGAGGGAGGGGTAGGTGTTTTGGTGGGAGTTATTGGTGATTATAACCGAACCATTAATTTTGGCGCGATTTTATTGGTTACTTTACGTCACATGGTGCAAAATCACAGGACAGTTATCATGCAATAACCCCCATCCGCGTTGATATTTGTCCTCCGATTTTTGCTGTGAAAAAGAAACATAGTCAACACAAGAGTTTCAACTTTTCTGTTCTCCTACTTACATGTAAGGAAACCAAACTGGTTTTCTTTTTTTTTGCTTGCTTGCTTGCGTCAATCACGCGCATTTGCCATCAGATTACCACTGGCTTTTTTACTGACTGTGTTTACACACAGTTTAATTGCGATGTGAAAATTAATGGGAGGGTTATAGAATAAATAAACCCCGTTCTGGCTTTCCGGTATGTCGGCTGATAATGTCCTTGGCTGAGAGATTGTCCTCAAAATTTCATATTTGCCCTCAAAGCTTTGCTTCTCAGCCAAATATTCATTTTTCAGACAATCTCTCAGCTGTGGACATTATCAGCCGACATACCAGCCACCCGAAGGGGTTTATTTAGTAATTATAAAACCTAGAAACTGGATATCTGGAATTTCAGAATATTTGACTACTTGTTATATTAAATACTATTGCACCTCAAAGGTATGGGATACTGCTGGACAGGAACGTTATCGGGCAATTACAAGTGCCTATTACCGTGGAGCTGTTGGTGCTGTGCTGGTGTATGATTTATCCAAACAGAAAACTTTTGAGAATGTCGAACGTTGGCTTTTGGAAGTGCGTGAACATGCAGAGTCCTCTATTGTCACCATGCTTGTTGGAAACAAATGTGATTTGAAACACCTGCGAGCAGTCGTTACAGAAGATGCAAAGAAATATGCTAATGATGCTGGATTGTCATTCATTGAGGCATCAGCCTTGGATGCTACAAATGTTGAGGAAGCTTTTACACAGACAATTACAAAAGTCCATGAAGTGCAGTTGGCAAAAATAAGAAAAGAACTTGACATGCCCGGACAGAACTCTGGAACTTCTGATGGAAAAGGAAAGGTTGTTGAAGTGAATGAAGCATCACAAGCACGCGAAGGAAACTGTTGTGTTATTCTCTGAGAACTTTGATTGAGACACTTGTCACGTAATTCTGGAGAATTAATGAAATGTCTTATATTTTTGTATCAAAGAGGGCCATTTATTTCAAAACAGAGCGACAATTAAGATGATCATAATTAATTATATTAAAGATTATATATAGAAATTATTGTAATGGTGCACGATGCAACATGTATCATATTTTGTAGCTTTCAATACTAATATTTGGTTATTAATCAATTTGAAATATTTCTCTGGAAAGTCCAATCACAATTTATTGGTAATTAGCTAAAAATATAAAATCTTGACGGAAGGTACTCCTGACTTTTTGGTTGGGTTTTATGCTTGATCATTTTGATCCATACAGCATTTCAAACCAAAACAGGCCACTTTTTTTTTACCCATTTACCTACTTTACCTATAAATTCCACATACCAGAGTCAAGAATTGGTAAAATTCAGCTGGAATGATATATCTTGGTTGGTTAAGAGCCAAAAAAAAAGCAAAAATCTATAATTCACAAAGTAACTGCTGCAAAATGGTCTGAGAGCTGGTGGGTTTCTGTCACCTACCACCTACTGATAACCCAGATATAATTGGGCAGGCAAGGTTAGCAATGTGTACATTCTGAGGGGTTGTGGATTATATTCTGTCTAAGATCTTTCAAGGTCTAATCTTGCTCAAGATGTATAATTTCTTGTTGGTTAACGACTGGGTCATATCTTCCTTAAGTTACCCTTTATAATAAGTGACTAGAATTCAGTAACATCAATTTTCAAACTTGCTGCTGCATGATTCCTCAATATTTCTGTGAAGGAGGCAAATGAAATCATGGGCAAAGTTTCTCCAATGGTTACTTGTGTGATTGGATGACTATAATGTTGTCAGGCCCAGTGAATGTATTCCTTCTAACTTCGTCCCAAGGAATATTGGACAAGATGATCTCAGAGACATTATTTTTCAAACCGGCTGTGGCATGATTCCTCAATATTTGTGAAGGAGGCAAATGAAATCATGGACAAAGTTTCTCTGATAGTTACTGGTGTGATTGTATGACTATATTGTTGCTAAGCTAAGTGAATATATTCCCTTTAACTTTGTCACAATGATTACTTGGAATGACTAGATGATCCTACCTCATTGGTGAAGAATGTTTTTTTGTATGAAAAAAGAGAATAAGGGAGAAACTATTTTGTTATTTTGGACCATATTTAGATTCACATGGCTAAAGACAAAACTTGCAACAAAATCTACATGTAGTTCACTTTTCTTGGAACGTTCAGTGTCCTGTGAGCTCAAGTCTCAACAACCACTCTTGAATTCAGGACATTAGAGTAGATTTCTGGAGGATGTGAGCATCTTTTTTTTGTTCTCTTCTCTTTTGATTATGATAGCAGTTGATCTACAGCAAACAATTTTGAAAATAAAATATTACTGTCAAATCTGGACTTCTGTGAACAGCTGAAATATTTGGGGAAAGGTGACTATGATTCAAACAATCAGTCCTGTGTTCTTTATTTCTGAATTTGATTGCAGTAATTTTAGACAAGATACAAAGAAAAAAGAAAAGAAAAGAACAAAAATGACCATAAAAAACAACGAAATAGAAAAAAAAAATGAGTTTGAAAGGTTTTGAACAGAAAGAGCAAATTAAAAAAAAATTTCAGTATGTCTGATGACAGCAATTAAAAATGAGGGAAACTCTTTCAACCTATAAATTACGATTAATACTGCAAACTGAACATAGTTTGTAAAATTTGCCATCAGGTCACATATTAAGAATTAGCAAAAATTATTTAATATTTTTTTTTACTTGGAGCTTGAGTAAAAATCATGTTTTTGAGCACAGGCTGCAAATTAGTTGCATTTTAGTGGGAATCAGCTTTGAGACTCAAGAAGAGAGTTCTTATTAATTAAGATGGAGTCAGTTTAACTTGTAATTTTCTAACTTGCTTTACTTGAATTCGCATTCAGTTGAAAAATAACAGATAACTGGAAAAGCTTGGCATTCTGAATGTGATGATGACTTATCTTTTTTTGAGATATCAAACTATTTTCTGTTAAATTCTCTCCAGGATTTCAGACACAGGTTTATTGCCACGTTTATTTGATTATAAAGATATGGCAAATGACCATAGCATTTTGTTGCCAGTTCACATTGCGGTATTGATCGGTAATCTCCAACAAGAACACGCTCATGCCTTGCAGCATCAGACCCACGATTCTGTCACGCAAATAGGAATGAAATAGGCAAGCAAAGCGTGGAAAACATTCTTGAAGTGGAGATGTACGTACGATGACAATAAATAACGTCAACGACGCCTCTGTTTTTTACTCGGGATCTCCAAGAAATGAAAGTTTGAAAGTGTAGTCTGAAGTTCTTTCAAACGTAAATAGCAAGTTAGACAAAGGTCCCGAAAACTGTCAAGAATCGGAAGAGCCCATTATTTAAGGTAACCAAATTAGCTGACTAGCGATATACGAAATGTAGACCGCTATTTTCCAATGAATCCCAGATTGGTTGTTAATCATTGAAGACTTTGTTGTCTAAACATTGGTTGAGTGAGATGTGAAACTCAACCATTCGTTGCAATAGAGGTTTCACGTAACTCACTGATGGTATTCAGCCTTACGCAAAGGTTCGTCGAGTCTACTTGCGCTTTTTGTTCATTTTACGGGTGCTCGTGAATTCTATTGGATTTAGTGCAGTTTTAAACGATCTAAGATCTGATTTACGAAGCAATACTGAAAATCCTTAACTTCCAAGGGAAATTCCTTGGGATTCCAGATTTCCATGTCTTTAATATTTTGTTGAAAGCGGTTCGTCAAAAATTTCCTGCACGGCGGTCTTTCACCTAATGAACACTACAGTAGTCTCAAGGCCTTTGATTAGGCGATTGGACGTTCGGCCCTTACGATTGTTCTTTTAAAGGAATATGTAATCCGCCTTACATTAACAATTAAAACAAGCAAATTAAAACAACTTCTTTATTTATTTTTATTTTACAAGGAAAGTCTAAACAATAAGTATTATACAAACTATCTAAACTGATAACAACCACACTGCAATTTCAACTCTGTACACCCTTACATCAGTATGCATATTCTCCATACTGTTCTCTATACATTTCCCATGGTGCTGATAAGGAGAATTTGTTTAACAATCAAGGGCTTCTTTACTGGTGATCATTTACTTTATTCTCATGACCTTAATGTGTGATTCAGGGGTGATATTGTAAGGAGAAATTAGATGCTGGTCACTCTTTAAGGGTAGAAGGACGAACAGGTTGCATAGTTGTATGCACTGTGGAGAATACACTACTGGTGGAGTAAAATTTTTATAATTTGCATCATTAAAATGCATGTATTAAATTAGAAAGTTAATTCGGCTAGTGTCTTCATCACTCGTTTTATTCAGAACTACACGAAAATTAAAACTAATACCTGAAAATACCACCTTTATTATTGTGCATTGGTATGGCACGGTTAAATTAAACTGAAGCATACAACTCCCCTATACACACACACACACAAAAAAAAAAATTAAGAACTTACCATTTTACATAATTCAGCTTTTTAACAATATCCTAATGTGTTATTGTTTATTTTACTGTACATGATGAAATTGACTGAGTCTACAGATAACTAACTACTCGGCAATTATGAACATTCAAATGAAAAGTACTAAACAGTTCTAACTACTTAATCCATGAATGAAACCAAAGTGTACGGCCATTCAAATGCTTTTAGGTGGTACTTTTACGTGGCAGTGTCTACTACGCTTTAAAAGGTTTTTCTGGCTTTCAAGACTTCTGATAAAACCCTACGGTGTGAAAATAACAATATCTTTCCCAGGGTCTCTCATCTTCCTGCTTCCTGGAATGGGAAGATGAGAGACCCTGGGAACGAGGTTGTGGGCACAGCTGTCAAACGTCGAACATGCACACAGGGACGAATTTTGGCCAGCCACGTGAAAATTTCCCACAAAATTTCAAAGGTCAGCATAAGTTACAGCCGCTGTCATGCAAAATATGCGATAACACACCACCTAGGCATTAAAACGCAGATGTTTAACCACTGCGTTTATTGTGCGAACGATCAAATTAAAGTTTCTGAGTGGCATTTTTTACCCGGTGCCGTTTACTGATTTCACTGGAAAACAAGTGGATTTAACGTTTGAGTTTGTGGATGAAAACCTAGTGTGTGACCACTCAAATGAAAGCTTCTTGGTGGTAATTTCGTTTATCACTAGTTATGAAGCTGTCCTTAGTGATTCTTATTTTAACTTTGTCTATGACACCCTATCGGAGACTACTCAGTAAAACTTACCGAGCTAAGCTTTCCCTTGGAATTATGCCGTATAAAAATGTTTACAATTTAAAATTCTAATGGATCTATTACGGTTTAAAGGCAAATGTCGAATTCACTATCACTGTCAGAGTCGTCTTGCTCTTTGGTTTGTTGGTTTTGTCGCGAACCGCTCGTGCTTCCAGTCCCAGCAGTTCCCTCCTGGGGAAGACCGCTGTCCTGTAGAGATAGTTTGATGGCTTGTTTAAGATCATCATCGGGAGAAGAGGACAGTTCTAAAAATAACAAAAAAAGAAAAAGAAAAACATGTCTATCACTTTTTAGCGAAAGCAAATCTACAGGAAAGTTGTTTCTTTAAAAGAGTTTGGTTATTTGTGCAGTATTTGCGGCTAACCATGCGTATGTGTAATAATCATTTAGAACCGTTTATTATACTTTTAATAGCTTTCATCATGAAGGTGCCGGACACACAACAGAGCAAGGCTCCGAATTAAGAGAAAATAATGCTTTGTCCCCGCCAGGACTCGAACCTAGGCCTCTTGAAGCGGAGTCCAGTGCACTGACCATTAGGTCACTGCGCTTCCCACAAATTGGTTCTGTAAATCTGTGGATCAAATCCTCGTGTTTGAACAGTCAGAGGAAAGCTAATAAGCGGTACTTTCATGTGGTGCTGTTCATAGTGCTATACAAGGTGGTGCTAATTTGTAAGTCTACGGTAAACTCTCGTGTATGACCACTCAAATGACGGCTACAGAGCAGTACTTTTAAGAAGTAAGGTATTGTTCATTTTGCTGTACAAGGTGTGTAAGCTCATTGACAAGACCCTAGCTGGGAGAACTTTCAAGTGATACCTCCTTCAAAGTCCTTTGCACTTTTTCCCTTAAAAAATGACACCTTTGTTTTCAAAGCGTTACGAATAAAAACAACGAACCACCACCTCCAACAGCCGAATCTTGAAGTGACAACTCTATAGCCTTCTGGAGAGAAGCCCCATCCACAACAGAGAGGTAAGACAGGTCCTGGGGTGCCTGCACCCCATGCGGGGGCGCCTGCACCCCGTGTGCCTGGTCTCTGTAAGAGCCAGTCGAACTGCTGGATGAGCTTGATTGACGGCTTCTCTGATTGGTTGGTGTACTGTGTTGCAGTAGTGACAAATGGATTGCGCGCATGATATCAACATCCATTTCGTCTTCAGCGTCAGCTGGCTTGCTACGTCGTTGGCGCCCTAAGTTGGTTTAAGTAATAAAACGGTTAAAAGAAAGATAACATAGCTGTTTTTTTTTTTCGTTTTCCGTCAATGACTTTCAGCGTTTATGGCTTCATCAAACAAAACTGTGACAAATAAACTTGGTTACCTACTTCTATTACTTTCCAACCCTTTGTCTTTTGTTGCTATTTTTTTTTCCATACTAACATATGTACAGCCTGCGAGTGGGTCTAGGTACGAGTGTTTCTTTGCCCACCGAAAAGTATAAGGCCTGGAGCAACACGAACCTGCGAGAGGTCTGCAAAGGGGTCTAACACTGATTATTAGTGCCAGACCCCTGCCAAAAATCTCCCCGACTCGTCTCAAATCTTTACAGGGGCGTAGAAATGCGCGTCTTGCAGCACTAATAACAGGGCCTGGTCGAAGGCTAGCACATGTAGCGCTAAGTTAGTCATTAATAGTCCAGAGTTATAATATATGAACAATAACTATTTAGCTACATATATCTCTTTCTTTCCAAGCCTTCTTCTTTCACTTCCGTCTATATTTGCATAAGAAGGACTTCGTAATCATGGAGTTTGTCGTTCAGAGCTTTGAAACATGAACAAACCATTTAGTTACATACTTCTCCTTCTTTCCGCCCCCTTCTCTTTTGTTTTTCCATATTTGCACAAGTAACAAGAGGAGAGATTGAATCTCTTATGAATTGCCTCACAGGTAACTTTTTCCTTGGAGGCGGCTTGTTCTTCAAACACATCTTCACTAAACGGGGATGAATCAGTAGATCCAACCGATGCCAGCCGAGAGAAACGCTCTTTGATGATGGACAGTTCTATTGCGCTGCGAACTTCGTCGTAATTGTCTGCATCTTCGTCAGACTATAAAACACAAAATACATCATTCGATTGTAATACAAATGTTCGCTCAGTTAAGGAATTAATGTTCAATTAAAAGCCTTTTTTCACAACAAAGAGGATGATTCCAACACCTCGAACAAAGACACTTTCGAAACACTTCAGACTCGAAAGTCTAGATGGACTCCCCCAGAGGGCCAATTCGCATCATTAGACTTTTTTATCAAAAAATGCCGCCACGATATCAACAAACTCAATTTCAAACGTATTACCAAATTTTCTAATCTCTCTTCTGAAGAGTGGTCGGCTCTAAAAAGTCTTACAAAATGCAAAGACATAGTTATCACAGCAGCCGATAAGGGCGGCTCAGTCGTTGTTTGGCGCACCGACCTCTACCAAAAAGAAGCTTTGCGGCAACTTTCTGACACCTCTTTTTATCAAAAGGTCGACAAAGACCTCACTGCCAGCAATCAAAACTCCGTCAAGAATACGATCAACCAACTCATAACTAAACAAGAATTGCCGGCCACAGCAAAAAATCTCATCATAACCACTCCTAGAACTTCTCGTATTTACTTTTTACCTAAAATTCACAAACCTAACAACCCGGGTCGGCCCATTGTCTCGGCTTGCAGTTGCCCTACCGAACTTATCTCCAGCTATCTAGACAAAATTATGGCTCCCATCGTCAAAACTTTACCATCATATATTAAAGACAGCCAACACGCTCTTCAAATTTTTCGAGACTTTAATTTCCTTGGCCAAAACAAACTTCTTTTCACCATGGATATTACGTCTCTTTACACTGTCATTCCTAATGGCGAAGGCCTTCTGGCCCTTAAACATTTTTTTGATCAACGTACTGATAAGCACTAATGACCAACCAGGCACTTTTAAATGCGCTCGTGCACGATGCAAAACGTGTCCTTTCATTCACAACACTGATAAAATATCGGGACCTAAACGATCCATTAAGATCACCGATCACTTCACGTGCACCTCCGCCAATGTAATCTATTGCATAACTTGCACTTATTGCAAAAAGATATACATCGGCGAAACAGGCAGAAGACTAGGTGACCGATTCCGAGAACACCTTCGAGACGTGGAAAGGAATGACAAGGACACATCGAAACCAGTCGCTAGACATTTTAATTTACCTAATCATTCTAAGCAACATATGGCAATCTGCGGTCTTTCCTTGCACTTAGGTGGCACGGAAAGCCGTAAAAATCTTGAACAAAAGCTCATCTTTCAAACCGGCAGTCTAAATCCCACAGGGATCAACGAACGCTTTTCATTCCACTAATTTATTCATGTTTTTCTCGTTGCCATGCTCCCACCAATAACGTAGCTCCATTTTCTGCCTTTAAAAGCACACACAACCCACAATTCCTCTATTCGCTCCGACGAAGGGCTAACGCTCGAAACGTCGGCTTTTGTAATCGTTACGGTGGCCAATTTACCATTTCAACTTTGTTGATATATCCAAATTATTTCGTTACTCCCACCGACGCAGCCCCAAACAGTTTCTTTCGAAACTATCAGCCTTTATTCATAAGGAATTTGGAACTTGGCAGCTTTAGGCTGCCGTGGTTCAGCTTGGACACGGACAACTACCAGGCTGCAACATATTGCCCTAATAATTCAATGCAACTCCTCAGTGACACTGTGAGTGTTAACAGTCTTGCTTAACCCTTTCACCCCCGAGATCTCTTAAGCAATTCTCCTTACTGTCTGCCATACATATTAGAAGTATGATACGGGCCAGTCATTTTTTAATCATCTGGGGAGAGGGGGTGGAGGATTTTTTTTGGGGGGGATCACACGGTTTTCATGGGAAATGGAGGGACGACCAGCTGTCGTCAATAGAGTATGAAAGGGGGACTATAGAAAGTAAACTGCCACTTAATTGCTAACGAGGCAAGGGTGGGAGGGTTTGTAAAGATATCACAGAGCCTTATGGGGGATCAGATAAATTTTAGCGCGACACGACCAAAATCATCCCCTCCCCCCGGTAGTAAATTATGATCAGTTCCTAACACTAGTATAACAAATAGTATTTTAATGTTACCTCACTATCTTGACTTCCTCTGGATAATGAGAAGAGCCTGCGAGAAAATAAAAAAAAAAAAAACAAGAAAAAAAAAAAGAAAAAAAAAATATGAAGACCAGGAATCCTCATGGGCAAAAGTTCCGAAACAAAACTTTGAAATAACGTTACTAACAATGCCTACCTTGGCACGAAGCTGTTAGGCTCCGGTAGTTCGTCGTCATCCGGTATTAGGCCACGTGACAGAGCTAACAGAAAGTCATCTCGCTTCCGGTGTAACAGCTGTGTGGTATGGATGATCTGAGCCCGCGGTGTCCTCAAGTATGGTCGAGCAACCATCTGTGACAATGTTTCTGTTGCTTCTTCAACTTCGGTCTATGACGATAAAACACAGAGGATGCGAGTGTTTAGAACGCTTTACGGTTTTTTAAAATGGCAATGAAACCTTAACCAAAGTAAACGAATGGGCAAAACAAAACAAACAAACAAAAGCACGCAAACTGCTGATTGCAGCGCGGGAAAACGCGGGTGCACAAGTGGTGATTAGTTTTGCATTTGATTGGTTGATAGAGTGGCGCGAGTTCTCATGACTAATCAGAGAGCGATGTTTAAGAAGGATTTGTTCAAACACCACTCGTTTTTCTGCCCTTTTGTGACTTTCCCGCTGAGGACCGCGAGCTTCTTTTTTTCCTGTAGCGGCCGAGCGGCCGAGCGGCCATCTCGGTCACAGGTGGCCCAAGTTCTCTTTAAGAACCTCACAAGGAACACAATTTGCATATCGATTTATACGGATTTGTATGGGATTTTCTACAAGATATCCATGGAGATAGTTAAAAGTGAAAATATTAAATAAAAATGGCTCACCTTACTCTTAAGAAGAGAAGACCAGGATTTAAAAAAACTGCTTAAAATCAAGTTAAATCGGTAAAATAACGACACCGGGAGCAAACAACGCATGTATGGAATAAGGTAAGCCATTTTTATTTAATATTTTCACTTTTAACAATCTCTATGGATATCTTGTAGAAAATCCCATACACATCTTTATAAATCGATATGCAAATTATGTTCCTTAAGTGGTTCTTGAAGAGAGCTTGGGCCGCTTGTGATGTTTTGACCTCGAAATGAATAATTTTATTTGACGACTTATTCCTTGTTATTCAACTGTTCTGGTATCGAGAACATGCGATTTTAAGCTAGCTAAACTAATGCAATCCTGTATTACTTTCGACACTTCTTTTGAAAAAATTGCTTTAACACTTGCCTGCATTGATTCAAAGATTGCTCTCTTGTCCTTGTTACCAGTGAGAAAGTATCCATGAGCATATGAGGCTCGAAGTACTCTCCTTGCATTTAGCAGTCCGTGAACGGCGTCTTCGATAAATGATGTGTCAGCATTTTCCACTGAAGTTGCAGCTGAACACAGAAACAATACTCAATATACACACTAGAGACTTACACTTGGGTGCAAGGGAAAAAATTCCCCCGAGTAATATCGGTCGTACAACTAACAGTAAAAGAGAGAAACTGACCTGTTTCCATGGCAGCAACAGCTAGTGCAGACATTTTATCCTTAGCTGTACTNTTGCTGACGAGGTTCAGAAATTCTCTGCCGATGTTTGTTTGCCCGTTCATGCTGTAGGGCGGATTAAACCAAATTATGTTTCTTTGTCTGCTCTTGCGGTTGTGAGTTTCAGGTTTCTTGCGTTCGGTGTAGGTTAGTTTTTAGCCGTGTCCGCTTTGTCTGAGTGCACTTTCGTCTGCAATATTTATTTATTTATTTCTTCGCACCAGCGAATTAATTAACTACAATACATAAGGAGGTATGTTCTTTATTGAATAAAATTCTGTCTGACGAGCGCTTCGGCGCGAAACTCAGAGTAACAGAGAATCGATGCGTCCTCTTTGATTCTTCAACTAACGTAGATCTTTATATATATATCTTGTGTTCTCTTACCTTGTAGCTATTTTCATGGTTCTTAAAGCGTGAGTAATAATGTAGAAAGCAATTTAATTGGGTTATCTCGTCATTCTTTGTGTTAATCTGTTAAAAAAATAAAAAAATAAAAAAATAAGAAAACGGTGGGGTAAAGAACAAGAAAATATTCCAAACATTTCTCTCGATTACCCCTTTTTTTTTACTGGAAGAGTCCTTTTCAACTTTCAAACATTCAGAGCCAAAGCATTGAGTTTCGTTGGTTCGTGCTGGTAGTTTGACCTTCACACGATGATGGTAAAATTATTGATGCTGTTACATTTCAAGAGGGATCCTAGCTTTGTGCATTCTTCCTGAGTATGACGGAAACCAAAGAGCTAATCGAGTCAGTTTTGTATACAGGCTTCACCTTACCTCAGTTACTACCTTGGCTGACTCTGATTCGACTTTTTGTACAATCTCAAATCGATTACACCTGAAAAGAAACGTAATGTGTTATCACGAAAAAAAGGTTTGGCTATTCACCGTGGTTCTTCCACTTGTACAACTGTTTGTCTCAAGATAAAGTCACTTCCGAGGTGGATCGTGACGTTTTGATTGCATACTGCGAGGCTTCTTCAAGCGATATGGTCGCCCGGGTACACATCATTTTTTGAACCATGAAATACGCCAATCACAGCTGCTGAATACCAGCCAATCACAGCTGAGCCTTGTGGTTCGCAAGGTAATGTATATCCAGTCAACCTTTTCGAAGAAGAGGAACAGCAGTAGGCAGTCGAAGCACCACGACAAACATGGGAGTGATCTCAGCGTGAGACGCACTATTATGCTTTCAATAATGAGGGGTTTTACGGATACTTCAAGACTGTTGAAAAGCCTACTTGGTGCTTATGTGGCGACTGAATCAGCCCTCATCCCAAATTTTCAATTATCTCTTGTAAACGACGTAGAAAAGCGAATGAAAAGAATGGAATGCAATAATCAAGTAAATAATCAAAAGCAACTGTCAATGAAATAATTAGCCGCAGTGCATTCTTAATTAGTCTCACAAGATGAATTCAGGTAAGTGTGCAGGGGCGTAGCATGGTCATTTTTTTCAAGTACGCATAAGCACATATGATCTAGAAACCTAACTAAACTGAGCGAAAAATACTGCGTTCTTTATTTCTTGTTCGAAATAGTTGTGTGGATACAAGCAAAGAACAAAGTTAGACCACGTATAGCTTTTGTTTCAGTTTTTAGAATTTAATCAAAGTGGTGTTTTCCTCACGAAATCTTGGTTGCGTACAAGTAAAATGTTAAAAATAGAAACAATTGCTAAAAATTTCAAAATTTTCCGGTCACTTCAAGTACGCAAGTGCGTATATGGGTATAAGACGCTACGCGCCTGGTGTGATTCATAATACTAAAAATTGACGAAGGCTGTTAATGCGTGCATAACAAAACTTCGACTGCAGTTTTACAAAAATAACTCTATACAAATGGTACTCAGCCAAAGAAGACAAATGTTCCTGACAATTTTCAGCTCAACTTTACCAACCTAAAATATCCTCCTGTAGCAGAACTGTGTTTTTTCCACTGTTCCAGACAAACCCAGCAGAACTCGTGTTTGCACTGTAAAAAAGAATTAATAATAATAATAATGATATTAATAACAATAATAATGTCTGTAGAATTCCATAGTGGAACTTTTTCATATCATGATAATCAGCATTGGAACACAGTCAGCAAAGTAAACATGTGGTAAGTCCGGCACTCTTTGATATTTTCGCTTATTATTTGTGCGTCTGTTTGTTTGTGCGTTTTTTGCTTTCGTTTTTGTTTTTGTTTTTTTTAAACAAAAGCTGTCGATCACATCAATTCTGATTGCTGGATTAAGGACAAAATCAATCTCAGACTCTCAGGGGGGAGCCGAGTTGGGGCGGGGGGTGTTCGAGTTATCCAAGTTGAGATACATTGCATCAGCACACAAAAGAAATTATTATAAGTAAAGTTTAAAGACTAAGACAATTTTTGGTACAGAAAAACTATAAGTATTTTAAGATGTCTTACAACTCTACAAGTGGGTATCTTTCAAGCCGTTACGACTAAAACTCATACTAAGTAAATTCACCATACAAATACCTTTGTACACTTCATGTGGTTGCATCCCTCGTTCTTCTGAATGGGTGATCTGAGGAGTAAAAAATCCTCCCATAAGATTTATTCTATAAACATTGACAATCGTTTCGAGCTCTTAATTTCTACACGCTTTTGAGGTCATTTGTTTGAGCTCCTGGGATGGAAAAACCTAGCTTCCCAGCAGCAAATGCAAAGAGCCACAATGGTCCACAAGTCTCTGCACGGCTTAGCTCCAGACTATTTACGTTCTAAATTTGAAAGGCGAGAAACTGCGTATAACCTAAGAGACTCTGAGAATAAGCTTAATGTTCCATCGCCGCGCACAAACCATTATAAGAATCGCTTTAGCTATAGTGGCGCCACCCTTTGGAACAGTGTTCCTCCTGATATAAGACAAGCAGAGTCCCTTGGGTTATTTAAGCGTTTAATTAAAGATGTAAGTTGTGGCACGGCATTCGTGGAAAGCAGCTTTAGTTAGGTGTAGGTTTTAAATATAGTTTTCATAATAGTATCTTATCCATTTGATGCATGTTGATACCGTTATGTATTTTAAATGTTTTATTTATAGATGATGAATTGTCCGAGGATAAATAAAGATTATCTATCTATCTAGGTACTGTGTAGAAAATGAGACGGTCTAGAAAGCTCTTCCATCATATCTAATTCTACCAATTGCAAATATTTCGCCGTAATATGCAATATTTACAGCCTTTCGGTTTTTATCGTTCTAGTTTTGAAAGAGATTTTGTTAGGGGCTTCTTGAAGGTATAATTTATTTCTTCTTCATTACAGCTCATTGGTTGGCCCCCGTGATATTCCGTTCGGTAAGTTGTATGCTGTATTGAGTAAAACCTGTGTTGAGTGTCGCAAACCAAAACCAAAGTACGGGTAATCACAAAGGTCAAAAAGAAAGAAGAAAAATTCCTCTCAGAGCCAATTAGAACTCAAAGTAAGAACAACCAAATTGCCAAAAGCGCGGGAAAACGCAAGCAACCAAGTTTGTCATGATTGGTTTTAGTTTGGCATCTGATTGGTTAGGAGAGTGGCGGGAGTTTTCTGGACCACTCACAGAGCGAAGTATAGCAAAACCAAAGATATCTCTGATTAGTTTGACACTCAGTTGAAAATTGCTTTAAACACGAAATTACTGATTCCAATTTTCACTCCTTGGCGGAGAACCAAGACAACGTACAAAGAAAGGAAGCGTATCATGTTTCTATACACTGGATCTCCAAGACGTCTTGACAATAAAGAACTTAGGCTAATTATTTTCAGATGCGCATGAAGTGATGTTGGCCGTTCGCGTAAGAGGCAGATCTTACAGTTTCTATACCGTAAATATGTTCTTATAGTGTAGTTGTATGATGGATTACAGGCGTGATTGCATGTAACACAAATCAGGTACTCAGTCATACAAAACGCACACATAAATGCCTTGTTTAAATCGACAACTTACTTGCAGTTGGGGCAACATTTTGAGTTTGTCACAAGCCAAAGAGTGTTAGCGACTGCTTCGGTTTCAGGACACTCAGAAATGTCTATCAGAGGATAGGAAATTTTGGAGTTATTGATTAGTGTAATCTCAGAAATTACAAGCGTGGTAATCCTTTCTGTTTTAGCTTATCTTGGCTAAATTTTCTATGTCATGGAGCACCTAAACGGATTGCTAATCCACCTGGATGGTAGGCCAGTGCATCCCTGCATTTCTTCTGGAGCTAATCTCTGTTTCTGTAACATGACGGCGCAAGGAGTGAAGGAGCTTGCCACTAGATGGGATACTAGTCCATTAAGGTTTACCCCCCCTTCCCCTACAAGGACTCTGGGTTGAGAGGTTCTGGTTCAAGACCTAGCTGGGTCAATGTGTTGCCTCCCTCCCCCCCAGGAATATAAATGGGCACTGGCAAATTGTCAGGGTAGCCTGATAAAATACTGGGAGGGGGGGGGTGTAACCCTTAATGGACCAGTATCCCATCCAGGGCTTTACCTTACCAACAGCGTATTGTTCAATAAGCAACTGGGTGAACCATGAACAGAACAACAAAATAACATATTTTGCCCATATAAACCAAATTTGTATAAAAAAAATACCAACCTTCTGCTGTAGGAATCTTTGGTAACATTTCAGCAATTTTTTCCAGCCATTTACTCCAAAGTTCACATGAACAGGGCAGATGGGCTTCCTTTAAACAATGCCTGTGGATCAGACAGATAGACAGTAATATTGACATTTGAAGTGAAATCAGTGGAGTCCTGTGCACATTAAATTTATCTTATCTAGGACAAACAACAAATTTCAGTGACTTTGGCAAATAACCTCCTTTGTCCTTTTTGGTGTGTGTGTGTGCAGCGTCAAAGAAAAGTTAATATCTACTGACTGAGAAACCTGTGTTAATTTCAATTTGGAGAATTTAGTATGGGACCAAATGATAATCCCCTAATTGATATTTTTTTTTAATATTCTCATCACTTGTCAACTTGAATTTGTACCAATGTTGTAAGGAGAAGTTTCTATAGGTCACTTCTGGAAGTGAAAGGGTTAAGTTCACACAATATGGCAAAATAATCTACTGGGAAGTTTCTGGAGGTCAGTTAGTTCAAAATGAGTACAACATTAGTGAACATTGTGCAAAATGAGGCCTGCAAAAAAAAACAAAAAAACAAACAAGCAAACAAAAACTGATAACTGGAAAATCTGTTGGCCTTATGGACCAATCACATCTGCTTACTATAATCTACAAACACTGCAGTCCAAGGCCCAGTTATTCAAAGAGTTGATAATACTATCCAACAGATAAATCACCATCCAGCAGACAAGAAACGTACTTCAATATCTATTGGATAGAGATTTATCCAGTAGTTAACAATTATTCCACTCATGCTAGTTGGATATGAGATGATAGATAGCTATCTGGCTATCTATCATCTCATATCCAACAAGCATGAGTGGAATAATTGCTTTATTAAAAAAAAAAAATGCTCCCAAGATATTAGACAAATCTTCTCGACTTTATTTTGTAAGAAGAAACTAGATGTGAGATATTAGATTATGGTATAATTATTGGCTCATATACCATAATGGCCAGAGCCAATAAAAAGTCTTGAATTGCATTATCCAATGATCCAGATTTTAATAAATAGCATTATCCAATTTACAAACAACCGGGGCCATAGTTAACTCACCAACAAAAAAAGTGACCACTACCACAATCTACAATTATCGCCTCAGTCTCCCCTGAGGAACCTGCTTCCACTGACACATTCAATGAGGGTAGCATGCTTGATGGCAGCCTCACTGCTCGGCCACACCCAGGTGAAGGGCACCACTTCAGTGTGGGATTACTTTCTACAAAAGCCTGAAAAATATGTTTGGGCAGCTGAGGCTTTCCTTACAAACGCTTCTGTAAGTGGACAACTTTGTAGCATTCATTGACCCTAATTTTTAATGACCACTGTAACAAGTAAGTCGCAACTTCCTTACAGGCAGTAACTGGTAAGCTTACTGACTTAGATCACTTAGAATTCTTGAAAATTCAACTAGCAAAAGGATTGCTCTATTAACTTAAAAATTTCTTTTACTTGACATTGTACCAAAAATAATGGAGTACACTGAGTGGCTACTTTATGACCACAATCTGGTGGACCACGACTCTACCATGCATATTCATCACAACTTTTGGGCATTTTTCAGGTCTTGGCCTCTCAGGCCTTACTTTGAAAAAATTTGGATATATCAACAAAGTTGAAATGGTAAATTGGCCACAGTAACGATTACAAAAGCTGACATTTCAAGCGTTAGCCCTTCGTCGGAGCGAAAAAGACTGAGGTAATTTGGAAATGGCCTCTTGTTATCATTGCATTTGCCTCTTAACCTTGTCAGTACTTTTTTTGACTTACTTTTAAACTGATTTGTGTCATTCAGAATGAGAATCTTCATGCTTTAATTCCTATCACTAATCAAAAACAGGGCATGGTTGCCTAGGATCCTTTAAAGATGACTGGTCAGTTTTTGAAGTCTTTTCATCATTGATCAACCAAAGTGAACCATAACACATTACTCTGGTTTACAGTCCCATTAGCTCAACCTCAACAAATGTTTCTAACATTATCAGCACCAACAAATGTTTCAACATTGTCCTCACCTTAATATCAAACTGAAGATATCTTCTTGCCATTTCTCTTGATACAAGACTTTCAATAGTTTCCTGAAAGACATGTTTAACACACAGCTGTAGCACAGGTGAGTTTACAAAATGATGAAGAAAGCATTTGATGAACAATCATTGTCTCAAGGAAACACAAATGATTATATTTACAGAGACTGAGAGTGTACATAAGTAAAATTAATGTAGAATTGCATAATTCTAGTTGGTTAACAAAGCAAGGTATTTAGCATGAAATTGTGAGTTGAAAGTGAGGGTAAGTGATACTGTTTTGCATGCACTCAGGATAAAACAAACAAATTTATTACTATTTTTCATTTTTCTTATCTTTACTCAAATTACATGATTCAAGGAAAACCATTACCTGACTTGTGAATTCAGTGTTAAATTGTACTTGAAAACTGATACTGCACTCAACACTTGTGTGATATCAGTTTTCATATGCAATTAAATGAGGAACTCCCTCATCAGGTAATGAATTAATTTCCCTATAACTGCAATTATAAATACTAAACATCATCATTTTTATAAATCTTTAAGTAATCTACATTAAATGTATGTGTTCACTTTCATAGAGTCTGAAGGTGTAACACGTTTAAAGCTCACTTACCACAGGAACCAGAGTACTACAATCAAATGCAGGACACTGAATGTTATGAGTGTTGCCTTCTTTGATCTTCACATTCAAGTAACTAAGTATAGACATGAGAGTGGTAATTAAATGAGAATCCAGACAGACTTGCTCCTTACAAATAACAGGTAATATACAGTAGAGTCTCCTGGCCGGGCCACATGGCTTGTTCTCATCCCTGGATTCTTTAACACAAAGCCAATAGGAGCGTGACTAGTGTTTACTGGATAAGACACAAGGTTGTTGCTGCTAGCCCTTAGCATTTTGTCAGGATCTCCCATAGTTCTTTGGTGCCCCTCTGTCCTTCTGAACAGAGATGTACACCATGAGAGTATTCAGTGTCTTGGCTATGAACCTGTCACATGACCTGGTCCTAACTCAGACCCAGAATCTGACATGCCAACCACTTAGCCACCAAGCCTCTTACCACATACAACCACATTACCAATAAGTACATATCACACAAGTACATAGTGCTTGTTTTGTGCTCTCATTGGCTAGTTAAGATGAAATTAGTGAGTGCTATTCACCTCCATCCAGCTCAAGAGACAAAATTGAGGGTTAAGAATTTAACTTCTGACCATTTTCATTTTTTGGTTTCTGTGTGGTGTGTACTAAATATATCTTATTAACCAAGTGCGAGGGCCATACTGGGAGAATATCGGCCCGAGGTCTTGACAGTATGGACCAAGCACAGCTCGGTCCGTACAAAAAAGACCAAGGGCCGATATTCTTCCAGTACGGTCCAGAGCAAGCTTGGTTAATAAGAGATTTATTATACGACTGAAGTTCAAAGGGACACAAGTGCGGTATCATTCGGGACCATTCGGGACAGTGCCCGGTCTAATACTGAGAGAATATTGACCGGCAATAGAACATTTTGATTGGTTGATTTTAGTTATTGGCCCTCTGACTGCCCGAGTCATGTAATAAAAACAATTATTAACCTCAAGGTTGGTGAAAGCAGTGATATTTACCTTCCCTTCAGTAAATAACTGTCATATGTTCAATATACCAGGCTCTCAAATTTACCTTTCCCAGCAAGAACGACAAAACTCATGGTTACAAGAAAGAGACAGAGGAACATCTTCATATAGTATTTGATTGTCACAGATGGAACAAACTTCCTGCGAATAAAATGGATGAAGATCAAGATGCTGAAAAATAATACAACTGAAAACAACTGTAAGGTCTGTCAACAGCTACTAGCTACATTACCTAGTGTACTTGTAACACTATTTCACCCTTTAGTTAATAATATACATGAAAAAATTTCTCAGTTCTGATAGGTTAAGATGAATGCAGTTCTCAGTTAATTCAGTGCAGAATAGAGTTCATTCAGTGC